GTACGAAAAGAAAATTATATTTAAAATCACATACAAGTATGTAATAGGTTAACGAATCTTCGTTTGTAATTAGTTTTTTATTAACAAAATTTAACAAAAACTCGTATTAAAAGAAATGACGATTATTTTAATATTTTTATTTTGTGTTTTAATTATTATTTTAACATTTATAAATGTTGTTTGTTTAATATAATATTTTAACATTCAATAAATATCGTGTGTTTAATAGTGTTTTTGGTTTTTATTAATATATTAATTAATATACATAGATTCACTAAATTATAAAAGAAACACTGAAAATTACTTTAAAATTGCTTTTGAATATCTGAGTATTTATAGAATAAAAAAATTTATAAATCAAACTATTTTATTTCATTAAATTTATTTAGAGTAAATTGCAAAGTTTGGTCCCTGTGGTTTGTTGTTTTTTGGAGTGGGTTCCTACAAAAATGGCATTTTTGCATACCACATGGGTTTTCTTGTAATAAAAACTTTGTAGGGATTCGATCCAAGAAAAAAATCAGAATTTCAATTTACTCTTTATTTTATTTTATGATAATTATTTGGTTAATAAATTGGTTGGTATTAACTTATAGTAAAACATATTTAATTTGGATAATGTTAATTGAATTGGATCGGTTGACAAAATCCAACATCCAACTAATGATTGGATCGGTAACACAGTTCACATTATAATCAGGGAGATGGATCAAAATAATACAGAGGGATCTCAAATGATTCTATGTCAACAATATGTTAAATATAACAGTAACATGGTAAGAAAATTGGTAACTTGTGTTATGTCATCCTAATTTAAATCAAAAATTACCCATTGTTATAATGGGTAATTTTTGGGAAAATTTCAAAAAACCCAGTGAAGTACAATTGTATTTTTTTACGTTCGCTAAACTGTGACATTCTCCCGTCCCTAGCCACACGAGACAGGGGGTGGTACATTCAAACAATCTTTCACATTTTAAGTGATTAAGTTTTTAAACCTTTTTTTAATTAAAAAATCTTTGTACTTTTTGAAATTGAACAAATAAATTTTTAAAACTATTTTTTAAACCAAAAAAACTCAATAAACATTCATATTTTGAACGATTAATTTCATAATTGATTTTTTGAACCAAGTTCCTACACCTATAAAACCAAAAAAAAAAATACATCACTTATCTATTGATGTATCAACATATCAGTAATAAAGTACAATAAACTAATAAAAAATAATTAAATACCAGTTCCAGTATCTATTATTTATTTTTTAGATTCAACAGAAAATCATAAAAGAAGTTAAATTATTTATTTTTCAGATTCACATGATCACCACAGGATCATAACGAACACCTCTGATTGTCTTTTGAATCTAAAAAAGAAATAGTGGTTAATAAAAATGGTGTTATTTTCATATTATTGGTTCGTTGTACTTTCGTACCGATTTATGATACACTGAAACATTAATGACACATTTATTTCGTTTTATACGTGTAATGATTTATTCGTTCAAAAAATTGTTCAAGATCTTAGTTGCTCAAAATATGGAAGTTCGTTAATATTTTTGTTTCGATAAATTGTAGGTTTTATTTGTTCGATTTCAAAAAGTTTAAAGATTTATTTATTTAAAAAAATAGTTTAAAGACATATGATAGTTCATTGGGTTTTTTTTATTCGTCATTTTTTTTCAAATACCAATGCTTTAACCAAGGGGCTGTTTGGCGGTTGCTGAATGGTTTGGTGCAGAATGGTTAAGTGGTCAAAATGGTTAAGAGGGCCAGAATGGTTAATAGCTGAATGAAATAATGTTGTTTGGTAACGGTTCTCTGAATGACAACAAATTACCATTTTAACCCTGTGTATAAACAAAATTTCTACAAGATCAGTTTAGGCAGAACCCTTTCAATTTCTAATGAAGGTCCATTGAACTAGCAATGTTCCTCTGTTTCTTCTCAGAACCCTTTTCGATTTCTAAGTCAAGTTGAGGGTAAACAGCATTCCATCACCACAAATCAACAATCCCACTTTTGAACTGTAATAATGAAGAAGAAAAGGGGTTCCATTACTTACTGGAAGGCGACCGGCAAAGCTGTGGAAGGCGGTGGAGGCGACCATCGAAGCTGATGGACACGGTGGAGGTGACCGTCAAAACTGATGGAGGCGACCGGAGATGGCGACCGTCGAAGCTGATGGAGACAGTGGAGGCGACCATCGAAGCTGATGGAGACGGTGGAGGCGACCGTCGAAACTGATGGAGGCTACCGGAGATGGCGACCGTCGAAGCTGATGGAGACGGTGGAGGCGACCATCGAAGCTGATGGAGACGGTGGATGCGACCGTCGAAACTGATGGAGGCTGCCGGAGATGGCAACGAGTTCTCGTGCAATGACTAGAAGAGAGGGGGTGTGGAAGGGTAAAGATGGAAGAAATGCAATCTGAATGGTTGAGTGACCCCTTAGATGCAAAATGGTTAAGAGGGAAAATGTAACCATTCAGAGTATTTTTTTTGCCAAACAGCCTTGACCTCTTAGCGATTAAGAGGTTGGCTCTTAATGTAACCATTAAGAGCCAAACAAACAGCCCCCAAATACAATATGAAAGTACTAATAAGAAAAAGGAGTAAATTATGTTTTTAGTCCTTGTTGTTGAGTTTCGTTTTTGTGGTTTAAAAATTATAGTTCTCGTTCTTTTGGTTTGTAGTTTATTTTTATTTTCATCGTAACCTTTTATGATCTATAGTTTATTGTTGTTTCGTTCCCTATTATTTATAATTCTTTACTGTTTGGGTCCCTTGTATTTTAAGATAAGAATTAGTCCATGGACGAAAATAACAATAAGTAGTAAATCATGGAGATGAAAATAACAAAATCTAAACCACATAGATGAAAAGTGTAATTTACTCAAATTTTAGTATAAGAAAATTTGTGAAAGTTGATTGCTATTTCGTGCATTTAACCATGTATATGTAACTAAAGTTTGTTTCAAATGCAACTCATTACATTTGTACAACCAATGCAACCCAATAAATTGAAATATTTATGGAAATGATGAGAGTTTATTTATTATGATTTAAACATTTAATAAAGATAAATAAAATTCATTAATTATGATCAATACTTTATAATAGGAAGGGAAAAGTCTAAAAAACCCAATGGACTTTAGTATTTGGAATGATTAAGTCATTGAACAATTTTTTGAAACAAATAAGTCCTTGAACATTCCAAAACTTGTTAAATAACTCCTTGTACTTTTTAAAACCTGTTATATACATCCTTATGACCTATATAACTTGTTAATGTGGTAAAATAATAAAAAAAATCTGGAAAAAAACCAATAGACTTTTATATTTTGAACGATTAAATCTCTAAATATTTTTTTTGAACCAAAAAGTACTTATAATATAAAATGAAACAAATATACCAAAAATGTACTTACATTTACAAAAGAATACTTATAGTTAAAAAAAATTATTGATGAAATTTATTTTAATTGAAAATAAATATTTTTTCAATGATTTTCCAAATAAAAAAATTAAAAAAGAATTTAAAAAAAAAGGATTACTGATTAAATATATTTTAATAAAAATAAAATGTATTTCGTATATGATTTTTCAAATTAACAAATAAAATAAAAACTTAAAAAGGATTACTGATAAAATTCATTTTAATTAAAAATAAAATATATTTCGTTAGTGATTTTTCAAATTAAAAAGGTAGAAAAATAATTTGATTAAATTACTGACGAATTAACGATACAATTTAATTAAATACATAACTAATTAACATTCATCGATTATCTATTTGTGAAATGACATCACCAACAAGATTCAAGCACGATCTTTCACACTTATTAAATTTTACAGTGATAGAGCGTCTGACGGTGGTCAAGTTAGCCATCAATTAAATATAAGTAATCTATGCATATATACTAATGAACACTAGCGACGAATTTTAATTAATTATGTATTTAATTATTCAAATTATTTTCTATTTTTTTAATATGAAAAATCATCAACGTAATAYATTTTATTTTTAATTAAATAAAATTTCRTCAGTAATCCTTTAAATCTTTTTTAAWTTGAGAAATCATATATGGAATATATTTTATTTTTAATTAAAATAAATTTTATCAATAATTTTTTTAAATGTAAATATTTTTATAAATCTAAGTACCTTTTTGATATATTTGTTTCATTTTATAAATATAAGTATTTTTTTATTTAAAAAATGTTTAGAGACTTAATCGTGTTAAATATGAAAGTTCATTATTTTTTTTCCAGATTTTTTCTATTATTTTACCATAGTAACAAGTTTTATAGGTCATAATGATATATCTAACAGGTTTTAAAAAGTCCAAGGAGTTATTTAACATGTTTTGAAATGTCCAATGACTTATTTGTTCCAAAAAATTGTCTAAGGACTTAATCATTCCAAACACTAAAGTTCATTGAGTTTTTTTTATACTTTTCTCTATTATAAAACAACCAAAACTTCTATCAAATTACATATTCATCAAATTAAATGGACGGTCGAGATTGAGTTGTATTGGTTGTATACATGTAAATGATTATATAATAACCCACCTCTATGTAACTAATAGTATAATCATAATTATATTAAATAACATATTATATTATTACTTATTTTTTTAATTAAATATCATGAAACATTAAAATTGATTAAGTTTAACATATTATTTTTGGTCATTTTACACTTTCTTACTGGTTTATTAGCTAGTTTTTGTTAAACATAATTGATTTATCAGCTACCAACTAATTTATCAACCAACAACTATTTTATCATTTAATTTATCAAATATAATTTAATGTCGTGTTTTATTAGCTAAATTGTCAAAATTTATCAGGTATCAAAGTCGTAGAGATGTAGACTTTCGTCATATGTTTGATTCATTAGCATTTTTTATGGCTTTTTAAAATCCATATATTGTACTAATTAGGGAAATTGAGTGTCTGATTGCACACAGACACCAAAAAGGTCAACAATATATTAAGACAAAAAACTTATTCTAGAAAAATGGAAATACCAAATTGGGTGGATAACACTTTGACTAAAATGCCCCTGGTTATCCTTACTACATAACAACAATACACTTCAATTTATTTGATAAAAAAAGGAACAGTTCGACCCTTTCATTTTAAAGAGTTGTCAATAGAGCCCCTCTAAACTTTGAGATATAAAAATCAAGGACACTTGGGTTTGCCTTCTTGAGTCTTCCAATTGTTATAGCAAGCACACGTCTGTTTGTTGCCATAAACACCCGCTGGCACGCACAAGCATTTGGCGCAACACTTTTGACAGAAGAACATGCACGGCTTCTTGTGCGATGTTGCAGAGCAACGGTATGTACATTTTCCTTTGCAATCTGTACAACAAATTAATTAATTAATACAATGTCATTTCGCATTCCTGGATCGTAATTAATTAATGTAACGACAAAATGAACTTCCGATGAGAGATAATCATACCTTGTGGACGAAGCTTGTTGTATCCCTGTGGAACATGTGAAAGAACACGTTAGATATTATGTTTAAAATCAAAGTAAGTCTGTATAGTTTTGATATAATCAAATTTTACACTACATCAACTTTCAGGAGTACTATATATGTAACAAAATTCATTGATTCCATAGGTAGAATCGACGATCAAGATGTTAAAACGAAACAACTGGAATCGGTACCTGAGCTACATCGGCGAATGCGATCAAGAGAACCAACGACAGAACCAAAATCGAAGCTGTGTAAGAACGTCCTCCTGCCATTCTGTGGGTAACGAAAGCGAGATCTAATGATGGTGTGAATGAGAGAGAATGAATGGCATGAATTGTGAAGAGGAGTTGTAGTACAAAGGGATATTTATAGTGAATAGAGGATGTGTTTTTGGTGGATCCAATCTCATTCACACTATGCAGAGTAGTGTTTGTGTGCGATAGAACTCATTCACATGATGGCAAATAACTTTTGGTAGATTCAAAAGTTATTTTTATTTTTTTCTGATTTATTTTACGATAAATGTTTTAAAATTCAACGATCTCTGAAATAAATTAATTTTATCTAACATTATTATTATAAAATTAATTAAGTGTGGTAATTTTGTATCAGATCAAACCAACCGTTCAATTAAATTGATATCATAATTGGTATTGTAGTACTGTATCAAATATGAATACTTATTGGAAGTTCTTTATCACGGTGGTACCGACTTATTTAATTATTTTTGTATTTTTGATATATTGAATATTAAATACCGTAACTTTTAACTCTTTCTGTTTAAGTATTTTACTATTTGCAAGTTTTATTTCTTATAATTAGAACATCCTTAACCATGACATGTACTATCTATAAACTTAAAATATCACTCAAAAATTTGAACAAGCAGTAAGTTTTCATATATGTAACATGAAGTTGTTATAATATCATTACCAATATATACCAACCGAAAAAATTGTACTTAATTATTAAGTTGTTATCAAGTACGGTTGGTTGGCATATAATTTAAGATTTTTTTAAATCAATTATAATTGATTAGTACACGACATTAAAGAAGAAACTTGATACCATACTCCTAAAACGGATTGTGTTTTGAAACCTTGGTTATAATTATAAGAACATTAAGGTGCCGTTTACCAAAAGCTTACCCGGGTAAGCGCTTACCAAGTCATTTTACTTTACCGGATGAATATAGCAAAGGCTAATAATCTTACCCGGTAAGAGCGAAGGTAAGAATCGAGAGTCTTACCCGGTAAGTGAGGACGAGAACTCTTACTATGGTTAGCGCTTACCAGGATAAATTGTTACATATGATGCGTTTTAATGAATAAAATTTTACTCGATAAGTAAACGATAATATTAAATTTTATCGGTAAGTGTTTACCGGATAAATGTTTAGGTAGACGATCCCTAAACTTTTTACTATTCCAATAAGTTATGGAATAGCTTTTATCATTGCAATAAAAAAGATATTGAAAAAGCTTATCATTCTTCAACTGATTATTACATCGAATCATTTTGTATTTCCCTCTCTAAATTTTCATTTTGCTCTTTCTTCTTAATCTTAATCTTATTTTCATTTGATTTTATACATTTTAATTAAATAATCTAAATTATTAAATATCTATAATAAAATAAAATAAATTTTATAACAAAATACATTATTAAAAAAATTCATATAAAATAACACCAATATCGAATATCAAAAAAATAAAATAAAAATCATATAATATATTTATCATCTTTATTTTTTTTAAATATATTTTAAGCTCAAGTAACATTTATTATTGAGAAATATGACTTGACCTAAAAATGACAAATTAAATTAGGAGGTTTTAATTAAAATTTTGGCGTCGAGTAATTTTTATAAAATACGGTGTACTTTAAAACGACAATTAAATTAAGGGGTTCTATGAAACATTTTAGATAGATATAATTAACTCATAAGATTGGATTCACGTGAGACCAGTCTGTTTTCATGAGGCCCATGAAACAATTTTTTTATACTTGAAACTTTACAGCAAAACATTATGAAAGTAAAACAAAAATCAAACCTTCACAACAAAACGTTGTGAAGTTTCATATGTAAAAAGGTGGTTTCATGACGTAACTCCAAATCTTAACTGGCATATATGTCTTAAAAAATTAATTAATGAGTTTTTGTTAGAAAAATCTGATGTAAAAAAATAAAAAATCGTTGAATGACTTTTTGGAGTGTGTGGAGGCTCTAATTAGTTGCATTTTAAAATTTTAACATAAAAACAACCCAAATAGCTGTCATCATAAAATTTTGCAATAGTAAAAATCCATTCTATTTAAAAAGCTTTTGTGTTTACTTAATTATGTGATAAAGTTTCAAAATGCGATTTGATTTTTAATATTATAAATGTTTATTACAAAATTAAATGAGAACAGTAAAAAGATTAAGAATTGTGAGTACTAATCTCAATCATTAAAGAATTTTAATCAAAAGTTATTAAACATGATGATATTTTTGTAATATTAATGAAACTTGTGTATAATCTTACATCTAATTTATAAAATGGAAGGACGTATTGTGGGGTTTGTATATACCCCACCTTTTTATGATTTTTACGCCATCGTTGAATTAATCATACAAACATAAACATCCACGACGGACAGACATCTTCATCGGACCCTCTCTTGATTGGAATTTCTCCAACGGCCTCCTTCTCTGGTGCCCTCTTTCTCATATTTCCCGTTTCGACCAACCACTATCCTCTTCCCATACTTACTTTTCCATTCATCAACCCCCGAGATTAGGGTTATTTGATTAAAAAATGAGAGTGCGGATTTAAATTGTGGATTTGCCGATTATTTCTACCTCTTTTTCTTCTATTTAACGTTCGTTCAATTTCAAGATTAAGAGGTAAAAGTTCACCGTGTTGTAGGCATGACATACAACACGAATGGTGCTTTTGAAAATGAAACAAGTGACCAAGGCTTGTAAAAGTCATTATCTCAGGACAAAAATCACGACATTCCTTGGCAAAGGCGCCAAAAACCTAATACCTACGAATCGTATGTGTTCGCACAGTGGGTATGAAGTCCCCACAATGGCGGTGTAAGTGCATGCCTACACTATGATCGCCACAAGTAATAAAGTGATATAGTACCAAGATCATTTCCACAAGAGAATCAGAGAGTTTCATGAACTTCTTGAGCACGTTTCGATTGTAAGAAAAATCAAGTTTTTGTTGGTTGAAATGCTTGAAATAGGAAGCAAACTTATGATTAAAAGATGGGTATGATTGTAAGTTTTTCTTTAAGTCATACGTAGTAACAAAATGGTCAGATACTTTGTGTATCATTGAATTGTTTATAAAGATCCTGATCACTCAAAAGTGAACCTTTATAGACTGTGCCGACAAAGTACCCACAAAGTGTCCACCATTGCTGAGTCGTAAAAAGATATATACCCAAATCCCTTTGTGATATAAAACTCGACTAAAGTTTGAACTTTAGTAAATCATACAAAACTCGTATCTCTACGTGATTATCAAAGACTCTCTTTAATTTATGTACATTACTTAAGCCATATTTCGAATTCGCCCATTTCTAGGTCTAAGATATAATATTAACACTTATAAAGTGATCGACTTATCCGCATTGAGTTAAATCTGACTCAACCGACCAAGTTTAAGAATTAGCAACGATGACAACACCTAAGTGTTGCGTACTAGTCTTAAGTTTGACTCACACCCACACCAATTAAGTGAGTAACTCATACTAGACACGAAATGCATGATAAATAAATACTTGAAAAATACTTGTATTAAAATAAAAGTAACAGCTAGACCACCGCCGCAGGAAGAAATTAAAATACATAAATGAAATGCTGAAAAATTAATTATACACTAAAATCTCCTAGCACAAGAGTAAATGCTTAAGGATGAAACTCAGATTGCAGCTCTTGGTCGAAGATGGAATGATCTTTAATGTTTCCTCCATGCTTCCTTATGTAATGATCTTTATTGTATTTTATTAACAATCCAAAATAAATTAGTTCATTTTTTATTATTACCATTTATTGTATGTAATCATTCAGGGTTCGAATCTAAATGCTGTCAAAACTCTTGTGGCAATGAAGATTTACCTGCGATGACTTCAAACCATACATGGTCGCCCTGAAGGACTAGTCAGTGCATGTAAACTGATCCGAAACCCCAATGTTACCCAAAAAAAAAAAATCAACTCAATATTAAATCATGTGTGTTTTTAAAATGGGGGTTGATATCCCCACCCCCTACATCACTTTTCACCCCCTCCTCCTCACACCATCCCTCACTCTCACCCTCACAATTTTTCCTCACTCTCACCCTCTTGAATGAAAATTACCGTTTTGTTTGAGACTGTTTATGAGTTACTTTAGTTTGATTAAAAGATTTGTTAAATATTTAGAATAAATAAATTAAATGTTAAAAATAAATAATGAATAAAGGAAATTAGCCGATAAAAGCGCCGCATTGTTTGTAGTTTGTACTATTTATCCAACAATTCCTAATAATTCTGTCTCCCATGTTATAGTTGCGACTTTTTTGTCCTCTTAAAATTTTGGCATCATTTTCATAATAATTTTTAATTATTAAATGTTTATTCATTGATATGGTGATGTTTTATTGATATCAAAATTATTAGTTTTGCTATCATTTTAGTTGTTGGATTATTTCATGACACTAAAAGGATTCGAAGTGATCACAAATAAGAAACAAATGGTTATTTTGTTACATATATGAATGTAGGGGTGAGCAGCGGAATCGGGTACCCGTTTGCGGAACCGGAACCGCCTTGGAACTTATTTTGTTACATATATGAATGTAGGGGTGAGCAGCGGAATCGGGTACCCGTTTGCGGAACCGGAACCGCCGGTTCCGAAACCGGAACCGATATGAGTGGTTCCGGTTCCGGTTCCTAAAATACGGAACCGATTGAGAACGGTTCCGGTTCTCAGTTTTTCGGAACCGTTACCCGCCGGGTGCCCAGAACCGGCTGTTGTTTTTCAATAAAAAAAATAATTGATTTTTTTCAATACCAAATTTATATTAAGTTACATCTTCAAATGACGCGGTCATCTTACAATTATAGTATATAATTGTTAAATTTTGAACATTTTATATTAGTCTATTATGGTTTTAATCGTTAAAACAATATTTGTAACCATTATTCCGYATAATTTVTATTHTTGTTTATTTAATTTAGTGTTTTGGCAATATTTTATTTTTATTTCTAAATAACAAAATTTTAATATTTTAGGAAGCGGGTACCCGGAACCGGAACCGGTTCCCGGCGGTTCCGGTTCCGGTTCCAAAAATTCAAGAACCGCTTTAACCGGTTCC